GGTGACCTGCACGGTGTCCACACCAGATGGGGCAGAGCTTGACGTGGACGTAGTTGAGAACCATGATGGTACTTTTGACATTTACTACACCGCACCTGAGCCGGGCAAGTACGTCATCACCATCCGGTTTGGGGGCGAGCACATCCCCAACAGCCCCTTCCACGTTCTGGTAAGCTTACAGTCCTGCCAGCAACAGACAGTGGCTGGTGGGGAGCGGGGAGGAGACCCACACTCTGAGCAGCAGCAAGAGATCCCAGAACCTGTCCTCACCTCTGGGAACCTTAGGGTCCTGAAGCCTCCCAAAGCGGGAGGTGAGCACAGCTCTGCTTTTGGCCTGGGTGAGGTCAGAACTGTAGAAACGCAGTGCTCCCCTCTGCCTCAGGCCACTGTCCCCAGCTGTCTCCACAAAGGGGGCCGTGCAGGAGAATGAGGGCGGAGCACCTGAGATAACCACCCAGGACCTGGGTTCCCCCAGCCGTTCTCTGAGTCACATCCTGTGCCCCCGTGCCTTGCCTCCTCAGGCGTGTGACCCCTTGCCCCACGTGGAGGAGCCCTCTGAAGCGCTGCTGCTGTGCCAGCCCTACACCCCTCCCCGGCCTGGCCCCCGCCCCACACACTGGGTACTGTGCCTACCGCGGTGGACCTCGCCCCCCTCTCCTCCTCCCCTTCCTCCAGTTCTTCCTTCTGTTCTTCTGCAGCCAAAGCTGGGGCGCAGTTTAGGGGCCTCTTGGAAAGCAGGCGGGCAATAGGCTGAGCAGAGGGAGTCCCAAGCAGGCACAGCACCGCATCTCTTGCAGCTGGCGCACCTCTCGGCCACTCGGGTTTCACCACTGACCATCTTGTTCTCTCCTTGCTCTGCCCAACTTCAGTCCTGAGGCAGGCCACACTCCAAGGCCCCCTGAAGCCAAAGACTGTTTCTTCTCACCTGCCACAGGCCACAGAGGAGCCCGTGGTGCCGGTGGAGCCATTGGAGTCCATGCTGAGGCCCTTCAACCTGGTCATCCCCTTCACCATGCAGAAAGGGGAGCTCACAGGTACGGCCTGGGGCCTCCGGTATGAAACCTAGCCTCTTAGAGTTGTAAACTGGGGCCCAGAGAGGGGGAACAAACTGCTCCAGGTCACAAAGCAAGTTGGGTAGAGCTAAAACTCAGGCTTAAGCCACCTGTCTCCCAGTTCAGGGTTCACCCTGCTGCTCTAGCCTGTGTCCCAGTATCTGGCCTCTAGGGTGGAAGCACAGCCACAGGAGCATGGCTTGGAGCAGCGGGGGATTAGGGTGGGAGAAACCGGGACCCCCCATGTAACTTCATCTGCCCTGCAGGGGAGGTGAGGATGCCTTCTGGGAAAACCGCTCGGCCCAGCATCACCGACAACAAGGATGGCACCATCATGGTGAGGTATGCACCCACCGAGAAGGGCCTGCACCAGATGGGGATCAAATACGACGGCAACCACATCCCTGGTGAGTGGGTTGGGGTGGCCCAGAGTCAGCCCTGCCTTCCCTCCTTGAGTAGTCAAGCACCTGCTGTGTGCAGACTCCATTTGGGACTCTAGGGAATCATGTCCCGGTGGGTGACACCTCCACAAGCCAGGTCCCCATGGCAGAGATGCAGGGCCCAGCAAGGAGGCTGCTGGAAGGTTTGGGGGCTCAAGTTAGGCATAGGTAGCCCTTGTTCCTGCGCTGACCCGGGTCCCTCCCTGTCCCCTCAGGGAGCCCCCTGCAGTTCTATGTGGACGCCATCAACAGCCGCCACGTCAGTGCCTATGGGCCAGGCCTGAGCCATGGGATGGTCAACAAGCCAGCCACCTTTACTATCGTCACCAAGGATGCTGGGGAAGGTGAGGAGAGCCTCGGGGAGGGAGGGATGGGGACCAGCAAGATACACAGGCAAGAGCAGGACCTCTGAGCTCAGCCTCATCTCCACCTACAGGGGGTCTGTCCCTGGCTGTGGAGGGCCCATCCAAGGCAGAGATCACCTGCAAGGACAATAAGGACGGCACCTGCACTGTGTCCTACCTGCCCACAGCCCCCGGAGACTACAGCATCATCGTGCGCTTTGATGACAAGCACATCCCAGGGAGCCCCTTCACAGCCAAGATCACAGGTGGGTGGACAGCCGGACACATAGCCCATGGCACAAACACACAGATGCACGCACACACAGCACGCGATGTATATGCAGTTCGCTCAGGGCTTTTGTGCAGAAGCCCCCTGGAAGTGGAGGAGGGAATTTTTGGATAAACTTGAAGAACATTTCTCCACAGCAGGGAAGACCATCCAGCCTCACAGCCCCATGCTTTAAAGGCACGATCTCATTTCGTTTCTGAAGTTACTCTTGCATAGCCAGGGTATTGGCAGTCTTCTGAATAGATGAGAAAACCCATCCCACAGAGGCTAAGCACTTTGACCAGAGCCACACAGCAAGTAAGTGGTCTGGTGGTCGGTCCCATGTCTCATTTCCACCGTTTCACAGACAGATACACGGCGGTCCATTTAGGGATTCAGCCCTCAAAGGACTGAGGCAGCCGTGGAGGAATTGGGGTGCTAGGCCCTTCTGTGGTTGCTGCCAGCTAATGTGAAACAGATCCAGCTCTTGCAGGCCTGAGCCTTTGTGCCTGGGAGCAGCCTGTGACTCTTGTTGAGTCCAGCAGGGTCTGTCCTGGGGGTTCCTGAGCCCCAAGAGTGCAGAGCCTGATGAGTCACAACGGCTCAGTGCCCCAACTCCTCCCCAGGTGATGATTCAATGAGGACCTCACAGCTGAACGTGGGCACTTCCACGGACGTGTCGCTGAAGATCACAGAAAGCGACCTGAGCCTGCTCACTGCCAGCATCCGAGCACCCTCGGGCATCGAGGAGCCCTGCCTGCTGAAGCGCCTACCCAACCGGCACATTGGTGAGCTTGGGACTCCAGGGGCATGGGGGTGGGCAGAGGGGGTCCCAAGGGGTGCTCTGCCTAATACCCCCTCTCCACAGGGATCTCCTTCACCCCCAAGGAGGTTGGGGAGCATGTGGTGAGTGTGCGTAAGGGCGGCAAGCACGTCACCAACAGCCCCTTCAAGATCCTGGTGGGGCCATCTGAGATTGGGGACGCCAGCAAGGTCCGAGTCTGGGGCAAGGGTCTCTCCGAGGGGCACACTTTCCAGGTGGCAGAGTTCATCGTGGACACACGTAATGCAGGTACTCCTTGCCCCTGGGTCCACCCTTCCGACTGCCCCCTTGGGTGGGTGCTTGTCTTTCTTTCCCACCCTGAACCCACTGTGCCATACCCTCTTCCCTGGACTTCCTGGCCCATCTCTGTTGGGCTTCACAGCCTGGGTCCATTCAGGGAAAGTGAACATCCTGTGAGTTCCCTCTTTTAAGAGAAAGCCCACTGCCCTTGGGGACAGTCCCCCACTCAGCCCTCTGCCTGCCTCCACACCATTTTGCTTAGTGGTTACTACATGCATTCCGTGCCCATTCTGGGCAGGACCTGCAGCTTGAGGCAGGGAGAGCATTGTGGTGTGGATGGCACAGGGCCGAGGGAAACACGTCTCTTCCCCCTCCCCAGGTTATGGGGGCCTGGGGCTGAGCATTGAAGGCCCTAGCAAGGTGGACATCAACTGCGAGGACATGGAGGATGGCACATGCAAAGTCACCTACTGCCCCACTGAGCCCGGCACCTACATCATCAACATAAAGTTTGCCGACAAGCACGTGCCTGGTAAGCTCTGGGTGCAGGCCAAGTGGGGACAGACCAAGGGGCTGGGTGGAAGGCAGTGTGTGCGCCTGATCTCCCCTTCCACTCCACAGGAAGCCCCTTCACTGTGAAGGTGACTGGCGAGGGCCGCATGAAGGAAAGCATCACCCGGCGGAGACAGGCACCTTCCATTGCCACCATTGGCAGCACCTGTGACCTCAACCTCAAGATCCCAGGTACAGTGGGGAAGAGCTGTGGTGGAGGGCAGCAAGAGAGGCTAGCTTGGCCCATGGCCTCAATGCCCCTTACTCACTGCTCACCCTGCCTCCCTGCATCCCACAGGGAACTGGTTCCAGATGGTATCTGCCCAGGAGCGCCTGACTCGCACCTTCACACGCAGCAGCCATACCTACACCCGCACAGAGCGGACGGAGATCAGCAAGACGCGGGGCGGGGAGACCAAGCGTGAGGTGCGGGTGGAGGAGTCCACCCAGGTCGGCGGGGACCCCTTCCCTGCTGTTTTTGGAGACTTCCTGGGCCGAGAACGCTTGGGGTCCTTTGGCAGCATCACCCGGCAGCAGGAAGGTGAGCAGAGAGCGGAGGGCTGGGCTGGGGTCCTTGCTGGGAGGCTGGGCCTTCTATCCCCCAAGACAGGATGAGAGGGTGAGACTTGGCCCACACAGCCTGGGCTGGTCTGAGCACAGGACAGGGTTTCACTGGGGGTCAGGGGCAGAAACAGCCCTTGTTGGCCCTGACATTTCCCAACCCTGCAGGGGAGGCCAGCTCTCAGGACATGACCGCACAGGTGACCAGTCCATCCGGCAAGACAGAGGCAGCAGAGATCGTTGAGGGGGAGGACAGTGCCTACAGTGTGCGCTTCGTGCCCCAGGAGATGGGGCCCCATACGGTCACTGTCAAGTACCGTGGCCAGCATGTGCCTGGCAGCCCCTTCCAGTTCACTGTGGGGCCACTGGGTGAAGGTGGTGCCCACAAGGTGCATGCTGGAGGTACAGGGCTAGAGCAAGGCGTGGCAGGAGTGCCAGGTGAGGGGCAAGGGGCCAGGAGGGAGGTTGGGGCCTGGGAAGCCAGCATGAGGGGCAGAGGTACTCAAATGCCACCCCTGCCCCCTTCCCTGAATCCAGCCGAGTTTAGCATCTGGACCCGAGAAGCTGGTGCTGGGGGCCTGTCCATTGCTGTGGAGGGCCCCAGCAAGGCGGAGATTGCATTTGAGGACCGCAAAGATGGCTCCTGTGGTGTCTCCTATGTTGTCCAGGAGCCAGGTAATTGTCTACACTGGGCCAGCCTGACCTTCTAGACTGTATTCTGCTCACTGACCAGGCTGAAGATGCCTGGGGCTGCAGGACTCACCTCACCGGCTCTGCTCTCTCTCTCCCATCTCCTCCACCCTCCCCTGGGAGTACTTGTCTGTCCTCAGAGCCGAGCCCTGACCCAAGGAACTTGTCCTGGGATGAGGCTGGGAGTGTGGGAGTCAGCCCCACCATCCCCACCTAGGCCCTTGCTGACCGGCTGCCCTTCCCTTCCCAGGTGACTATGAGGTCTCCATCAAGTTCAATGATGAGCACATCCCAGACAGCCCCTTCGTGGTACCCGTGGCCTCCCTCTCGGATGATGCTCGCCGTCTCACGGTCACCAGCCTCCAGGTGTGTGCCGGGCGTGGGCCCCTCTGCTACCTGAAAGATAAGCAAGAGTCTAGGATGGCACGCCCCCATAAGGCCAGGGACTTAGCAGTGACTTTGGAAAGGCCAGGCGGCACAGGTCCCCTCTCTGGACACCCCAAGGGTGGGGCACTTGGGGAAGAGAGTCCACCTTTAGCCTCCCAGGAGTCTAAGCATCTTCTGCGGCCTTTGCAGGAGACGGGTCTCAAGGTGAACCAGCCAGCATCCTTTGCGGTGCAGCTGAATGGTGCACGGGGCGTGATCGATGCTAGGGTCCATACACCCTCAGGGGCAGTGGAGGAGTGCTACGTCTCGGAGCTGGACAGTGGTGAGCTGGCCTTGCCCCTGCCACCCCTTGCCAGACAGGACCTCCTAGGAAGGAGGGATGTTTACCCACCAACCCTCTGCCCCACAGACAAACATACCATCCGATTCATCCCCCATGAGAATGGTGTCCACTCTATCGATGTCAAGTTCAATGGCGCCCACATCCCTGGAAGCCCATTCAAGATCCGTGTAGGAGAACAGAGCCAGGCTGGGGACCCAGGCTTGGTGTCAGCCTACGGTCCTGGGCTTGAGGGAGGCACCACTGGTAAGTGCCTGAGCTGGGGTGCAGTGGTGGGCTTTGGGGTTCTTAAGTGCTTTTTGGTACTGCCTTGTCCTAGAGGCAGGGGTAACGCTCACTAAGCCCTGAGTCCTCCCTGCTGCCAGGGCCTGGGGCCCAGCCTCGCTCTGGGCCTCATCCCTTCCTGCCCACAGCCTTGCTCCCTCTGGCCCCCAGGCGTGTCATCAGAGTTCATCGTGAACACCCTGAATGCGGGCTCAGGAGCCTTGTCTGTCACCATTGACGGCCCCTCCAAGGTGCAGCTGGACTGTCGGGAGTGTCCTGAGGGCCATGTGGTCACTTACACTCCCATGGCCCCTGGCAACTACCTCATCGCCATCAAGTATGGTGGCCCCCAGCACATCGTGGGCAGCCCCTTCAAAGCCAAGGTCACAGGTGAGTGTCCCAGGTCGGGGAGCTCTGTAGCCCAGCCCAGCCTGAACAGCTCCAGTGGCTGTTCATATCTGGCCCTAGTCGTCCCCTAGACATCGTGGCCAAGTTACCACGAAGGAGGTGGGGGTGGGCCTGGATTTCTGTATCATTCCATTGTGTGGAGTCAGGCACGGTCATTTAAAAAACTCCAACTCTTCTTTATTCTTGACCATCTGTAGCAGCTCCCCAAGCATTTGTTTAACATTCTTCTTCCAGGTTTCCTTTTTTTGTGTGGTACCAGGAATTGAACTCAGGACCTTGCGCTTCCAAGCAGGGGTGGCACCACTGAGTAAATTCCTGCCCCCCCCCTTATTTCTTGCTTCGAAGAAGATAAATATTTGGCAAGCTTCGCTTTTTCAAGCTATTTTAAGGACCTTGTTAGCTATATATCACGTTCCTTTTTAAAGCAAGACTTTAACCCTGTAAGTTAGCTTGAGTTCCCAGACAAAGCCTAGAAGGATGAGGGACAGAGTCCTCAGGGGCCAAGACCTGGGGATAAGTGGGAATTGGAGCTGGTAGTCTGGACACTTGTTTGAAATGGGCTTCTCAGAACAGGACGTGGGGAAACGCAGTGCAGTGTGGCCTGGAACCCTGAGTGTCACAGAGTTGTCAATGCTGGCCCAGGCCCCCGTCCTAGGAAGGGCAGGATCCCCTCTGACGGGGTTCATGGCTACCCACTCCGTCCCGCAGGTCCCCGGCTGTCTGGAGGCCACAGCCTTCATGAAACATCCACGGTTCTGGTGGAGACTGTGACCAAGTCATCCTCAAGCCGTGGCTCCAGCTACAGTTCCATCCCCAAGTTCTCCTCGGATGCCAGCAAGGTGGTGACACGGGGCCCTGGGCTGTCCCAGGCCTTTGTGGGTCAGAAGAACTCCTTTACCGTGGACTGCAGCAAAGCAGGCAGGCCCGAGGGGACAGGAGTGTGGGGTGGGAGTGGGAAAGGAGGTGGGGAGCGGATGAAGAGCACCGGGGGCCCTGGTGTGAGCCTGTCCCTCCGCCTCCCCTCCAGGCACCAACATGATGATGGTGGGTGTGCACGGGCCCAAGACCCCCTGTGAGGAGGTGTATGTGAAGCACGTGGGGAACCGGGTGTACAACGTCACCTACACCGTCAAGGAGAAGGGGGACTACATCCTCATTGTCAAGTGGGGTGATGAAAGCGTCCCTGGAAGCCCCTTCAAAGTGAATGTGCCTTGAATGCCGGAAGTGCCTCCCCCCGCCTCAGCCCCCACCTCCAGCCAAACCCTCACACCCGTCCACACACCAGTGTGCCACACTCAGATTCACGCGCACAGAGCCAACACTACAAACACCTGCCTTGGGTGTGACTTGAATGGCACAGCCTCCCATCCCACTGTGCCCCTGGGGCAGAGGCTTTATCTGTCTCAGGGCAGTGTCCTCCCTTGAATGCGCCATGAGGGGAGACTGGGGCCAGGCTCAGAGGCAGAGGCTGTGTGTGACACAGGGCAGCACGGGGTTGGGGGAGCCCTGAGTTTCCTGGTGGAGCCATGGCCAGTGGGGAAGCGTTGTGCTGTGGGTGTCTGTGTGTGAGAGAGGTTACCCTCAAACCACCCTTGCCAGCCAGGCCATCCTGCCTGAAGACTGCATCTGGCCTCTCTGGTGGCTACCACCCTGGAGTGTTGAAGACTTGGAAAAGAAAGCACAATTGGCGAAGAAAACGGACCTGGAACAAGCAGCATGTGAACTGCCCCAAACCCTATGTACCCCACTCAAACCAGGCTCCTGGGAAACTGATTTCTCTCTCTCTTTTTTTTACGGTTGCACAGCTCTGCCCCATGGGGGGGCCTTTTATACACACTGCGAGGCCCAGCTTTCTGGGGGGTCTTTTGCACATGTCATGCAGCTCAACTGGGAGCCGCTTAGGTGGAAAACTCCAAATAAAGTGCGGCTGTCGCAGCGGCTTGGCAGTTTTTTGTGGGTGTGCTCTCTGTGGCTGGCCACCTCCTGTCCTGCTGGCTCCAAATCAGCCCTGGAGAGGCAGAGGCCAGCGGGCGTCCCTTGGAGGGCTGGCCCAGGCTGAGGGGAGGGCCGGGGGCAGACGTGAGGGGTGGGATGTTGGCAGAATGTTGAGAGACTGGGGTGGGGATGGGGGTGGGGGCTGGGTCTTCAGCTGGCTGAAAGCTGGTAGGTGGTAGAGGGAAGTGGACACTAATGTCCTGGAAGGCTGCCTGTCCCAGGACTTCCAGAAGGCCAGTTTCAGTTCAGCCTGACCTGGGTAATGCTCTTCAAATTAGGAATGTAAGACAGTGAGCACAGACTCAAATAGGGACGGTCTTCAACCAGGCAGCAGGCAATCGGGACCTTCATTCCAGGTCCTGGGTCAAACCTGCTGCAGCCTCACCTCTAGCCCTGACCTCACTCAGGGCCCTCCTAGACTCCTGCACCAACTGAACCATTCTTCAGGTCCTGGCCAGCTCCCTCCATTCCACAGTCCATGCTGTAGCTAGAGAGGGTCCCACTAAAGGCAGTATGCCCTTCTTTGGTTTACATTCCTTTGTGGCTCCCTCCTAGTTCAGGCTAAATAGCCTACTCTTGCCAGGCCTAGTGGCACATGCCTATAAGCCTAGCACTTGGGAGGCTGAGGCAGGAGGATTGCTTTGAATTCCAGGCCAGTCTGGGCTACAGAGAGAGTGCAAGGCCAACCTGAACTACATAGCAAGACCCTGTCTCAAAAAAAAAAAAAAAAAAAAAGTTTACTCTTTCTTAGGAGCCCTCTGAGATCCCCCAGGTTCAGGCACCAGCTCCCTACCACCTGAGTGGGGCAGTGTGCCCACTCCTCATTGCACCTTCCTCCAGCGCCTTTCATGGCCTCTCCTTTCCCAGGCATGTTTGCTGCAGTCTGGGCCTCTAGTTGGAAACACAGTTGCCGCTCCACCTTTGTCTTTCTGGACCACAGGAAATGTTCCCGGACTGTGCCCTTAGGCACAACTCTGGTTGTATTTACTACCCTGATCCCTGACCAGGTATCCACCATGGCCTTGTGCACCAGCTCCCTGGGCCTGAGAGATCTAATAAGAGTCTGAAAGAACATGTGAATGAACAGACATAGAGCAGAGCAGACAGGTTTCTCTCAATGGATCCTGCAACAGACCAGTTTTCAGGCCTTTAGTAGCGGGACTGCCAGAAAAGACCCCAAACCTCTGCCTCCAGCTCCGAACCACCCTCCTCCTCTCTTTTTCACTCTGTGGCCTGTCTGCTCCTCACACCTCTCTTAAGTTTCTTCTTTCCTTTCCTGCATCTGGGAGGAGGTACTAGCCCCTTCTTCACCCTTGATGTGCCCCTCAGGACATTTTTAGAGCTTCCTTTTACTATATGCCTGTCCTCTCCCTCTGGTATTTCTCACCTTCCCCCTAGTCCTGCAGGGAGCCTTTGAGGACATAAATCAGATTTCATTAATCTTATCTCTTCAGCTCCTAACTGGGGTCACATTTGATAAATGATGTCTGATTGTAGTAGTGATGAACCTGATGGTATCCCAGGTCCTTTATCTGACAAACCCATTAAGGGCAGATTTGTTCTGTTGTGGTCACTGAGGGCCAGCTCTGTGCCAGCTGCCAGACCAGGTACTCCTACACACACCTTCATAGCCACCTCACTCTCTGTCCCTTGCCCCCAGCCCCTGGAGTGAGATCTTCCCAACTGTCTTTGTGTCCTCCCACTGTGGGTTAATGTGTCTATAGATCAGGACATCTCAATCCCCAAACCCAATCCAAAAATCAGTTTTGTCCACTATTGCTCTAAATATCTCTTGGCTTCATCTATTTCTTCACATTCTCATTACCACAATGACTTTCCAGTTTGGTTTCTCCTTCAGTATTTCCTCTGTCCACATACAGTTCCAATGATAGCTCTAAAGTATAAACCTGGCCATATCAGCCTTTTGCTTAAAATCCTTTTTTCAGGAAAACGCCCAGACTGTTTTTCTTGAATACTCTTAGACTCTCTAGTTGCCAAGCCTTTGGATATGCTGTTCCTCTTGTCTAGAACACCCTCCTGCCCTCATTTCTATTCCCTTCACTTTGCTGGTCCTTCAAGTCTCAGCTCAGGTGATGCTACCTCCTTGGGGAAGTGTTCTTCAAGAACTCCCTCTCCTGGGGTTAGTTACCAGGGATGTGTGCTTCCATGTACTTCTCAGTTTAGCAACTAACAGAATTTTGTACTCGCCTATTCCCATGACTCTACCTCTCGAGACAGTATCATCAGTAACTTGTTCATTCCTTTAGTAATTTTAAAAATATGTATTAACTGTTAACTGTGTCGTCGTTATGTAATGCATACACACCCTGACTCCGACCTTCTTCGTTGGGGGGTCTCAGCGTCTAGCAGCGCTCAATTCAGAAGGTTGATGGAGACCGGGGATTTAGCTCAGTGGTTCTGCCTCCTGCCTCGAAAGCGCAGGGTCCTGAGTTCGATCCGCGGTACCAAAAAAAAAAAATAGAGTGAGGGACCCAACCAGGTCTGAAAGAACAAAAGCCAGAAAGTTGCCGTGTGCCGCGCAGCCCTCTGGGAATCGTAGTCACCTGGTTCGGGTCTCTCTGTGTGGCGTAGACGTATTCAGTAGGAAGCCTCGTTGTTGCTAATGCGCATATCCCGAAGCAGCGGTGGTGGAATTGCGCATGACTGAAGGGAGGGGCTGAGGTCGGCTCGGTGACGCACTGCGGGGGCAGGGCTTTGGCGACTTCCGGTGTAGGAGTGATCGCTGAGTGCTGCGGAGATGGCGGGGAGGGGGAAGCTAATCGCAGTGATTGGAGATGAAGATACGGTCACTGGTTTTCTCCTGGGCGGCATAGGGGAGCTTAACAAGAATCGCCACCCTAATTTCCTGGTGGTAGAAAAGGATACAACCATCAATGAGATCGAAGACACCTTCCGGTACGGTAGCCTGCTAGGCCTGAACGGGCTGCTGCCTAGTGGAGCGCGGGGAGAGGGAGGAGGCGACCCGGGGTCCGAGGTGTCAGACGCCTACGGGAATGTGAGGCGGCCCTGGAAGTCTGTCCCCCGCTCTGAAGCGGAAGCTTCTGCGCCTCTGAGTTCCCTTTTGGGGCTCGGTGGTCTCGGGGCTGTGACGGGTCCACGAGCTCCCCTTCACATGACCATGTGTCAGGAAGGAAGGGGAACAGAGCTTGTGACCTGTCCCTGCCATAGTTGGACGTCTGGGGCTCCCGGCCCTTGGAGACGGTCAGCCTCAGCAGCTCTTCCGGTCCCCGATGTTCACCGACGAGCGGTCTCCCGGCCTTGAAAGCGCTCGGCTCTTTTGCGAATTGCTCCCTAAAGGAACCACACTCACTGGAATCCTAGGCACTGGGCTTGGACCTTCTTGCGCTCTCATCCTCCTTAGAGGCTCCCAATCGTCCTGTAAGGTGGAGGTTATTATTTTCACTTACAGGTGAGAAAACAAACTCAGAGAGGTTAAGACATCTCCAAAGGCACACTAGTGGGAAGAGTCATAGCTGGGATTTGAACCGGGGGCCAACACTTTTCTGTCTCTCCTAAGCTGTACACACTCGGCTTGTACAGTTGTCCACAGTCTGCCTTGGAATTTTCCTTTTTCTTAAGCACAATGAGCAGAATATCTGGACTTTCTGGCTTTCCACTAAAACCTGGTACTTCTTCCTGCCCTCAGTCAAGGATGATAGCTTCAAAGTGTGGAAGCAAGCCTGCCCTTTAATCCAGGAGATGTCTTGGTGATTAGAATTGATGCCAGACTCCTATTCTTTCCTCACTCTTTCTCTAGAGCTCCTCTGCCAAGTCTCAGAAATACCTCGCTTACCTGTTTCCCCTGAACAGCTGGGCCCAGAGCTGCCGGCTGAGACTGCTTCCTGCTGCCGGGGGTCTGATAGGCCTTGACCTGGAAGGCTGCTATATCCTCATCTCCAAGCAGTTGGTAAAGTGGCCCAAGTAGTCAGGGGAGGAGAGAAACTGTCCTTCAAGAATTTTCTAAAAAAATAAAAATTTTCTATTTTTTAGTCAGGTGTGGTGGCACGCATCTGTAATTCCGGTGGGATCACCAGGAATTTGAGGCCAGTCTGAACCACGTAACAAGACCCTGTCTCAAATTTAAAAAAAAAAAAAGAATTTCGTAGCCAGTGGTGTAGGCCTACAATCCTCTTAGGAAGCTGAGGCAGGAGGATCACCATGAGTTCAAGGTCAGCCTGGGCTACATAGCAAGCCTTGTCTCAAAAAACAAACAACAAAAAATTTTCTAGCCAGGAGTGATGACACAGATAATCCCAGCACTCTGGGAGGCTGAGGCAGGAGGATCACAAATTTGAGCCCAGCCTGGGCAATTTAGCAAGACCGTATCTTAAAAATAAAATTTTTTTTAAAAAGGCTGGGGCTGTAGCTCAATGCAACAGCCCAGGGTCTAACCCCCAGTACCTCCACCTCGCACCAAAAAAAATCTTCCATGGTTCCAACCAGAAAGGGAGCTCACAGATCTCAAGCCTAACTATTTGAGTGCCTAGCATGGGGTAAGTGCTCAACAGAGTTAGTTTTATGAGTAAATAAGTGAATGAATTGGGTGGGCGATCACAAGGAGGGCCTCTGTGGAAAGTGTGATTCCTCCATTGCCAGGTTTCCTCTTTCTGTCTTGTGTCCTTGACTCATGCCAACATCCCCTCAGACTCTTCCCCCACCCTCCTGAGTGTAGACCTTGAGGCCTTCAGTGGTTTCATCAGCCCTGTTTTTTAAAACTTTAATAATACTTATTTTTTCCAGTTTTTTATTAATACATGTTTGCAATACATAATGTTTATATTTATCGTAGGGGGTAGGTAAAAACTTTACTGTATTTTAAAGGTATGTTTTGCCAGGCATGGTGGCGTATACCTGTAATCCCAGTACCCGGGAGGCTGAGACAGGAGGACCGCCACAAGTCTGAGTGCAGCCTAGGCTACAGTGTAAATTCAAGACTAGCCTAAACTACACAGTGAGACCTTGTCTCAAAAAAAGAAAGCCGTGGATTTAGCTCAGTGGCACTGTGCCTGCCTCAAAAGCACAGGGTCCTAAGTTCTATCCCCGGTATCACAAAAAAAAAAAGGAAAAAGAAAAAAGTACTTGTTGAGGAATCTAGCCCCCCACCCCAAACCTTGCACCTCTTTATCTCTCTCCGCCACCCATAAAAATAACCATTTAGTTCTTTCAGTATCTTTCTGCAGTCTTCCTACAGATGCGTACACATATTCATTCCTGTCCTTTCCTTTTCCTACACAAAGAGCGCATATTGAATACATCTTCATTACCAGTTCCCTTTCCAAGAAGGGGAGGCAGAAGGCAGCCTTGACCAACAGGGCCCTCAGGTGTGCGTGTGTGTGTGTGTGTGTGTGTGTGTGTGTGTTAACAGGGGAGGGTGTCCTGGAAATTGAACCCAGGGCCTTTGCACTCAGCTACAGTCTCACCCACCCACCCCCTTTTTTGGGGGGTATTGGGGATCGAACTCAGGACCTTGTGCTTGCCAGGCAGGCATGGTGTCACTGAGCTGCATCCCCGGCCCTTGCAACAGGGTCTTACTAAGCTGCTAAATTGTCTAGGCCTGGCTCAGACTTTCAGTTTCCTGCCTCAGCCTCCCAGAGTTCTGGTACTGCCTGTGGCCCTGAGCTCTTGAGTGAAACTGCTTCGTTCAAGGAAGAAGAGCCCTGAGAGTATTTAGTGTAGCAGCCTTTCCTCTGTCCTCTGTGCCCCCAGGTCTCTCTCACTCCCCTCCATGGCCCAGTCCCCCCACCTGGAGTGAGCTGCCTGGGCAAGGGAGACAGCCCCTTCCCATCTCTCCCCACAGGCAGTTACTAAACCGGGATGACATCGGCATCGTCCTCATCAACCAGTACATCGCAGAGATGGTTCGCCACGCCCTTGATGCCCACCAGCGCTCCATTCCAGCTGTCCTGGAGATCCCATCCAAGGACCACCCCTATGACGCTGCCAAGGACTCCATCCTGCGCAGGGCCAAGGGCATGTTCACTGCTGAAGACCTGCGCTAGGAGCCGCCCCTGGCCTGCCAGGCCTCCCCCAGGCTCGCTAGCCCCACCCCTACCCCTCCACTGAAGGCTGGGTGATGCTTCTAGGCCACTGGGGCCTCTGCTGTTAAAACCCAGGCTGATTAGGGAACAGGAACCCTGGCCATCTTCTCTCTCCTCTACCTCTTCCCTGTACTGTTACAATGTCACTGTCGATGTTAAATTAAAGTAATATTCTTGGTTCTCTCCAAACTTGGGCTGGGTGCTTGGAAAGGGTGTGTAGGGCCAGGGTGTTGGGGGGAGATTAGATGACCAAGGCTGGAAAAAGGCTCTGCCAAAGAAGTGCTGGGCAGGAAGTTTGGTCCAAGAGGCTGGAAGTCAGGACTGATTGTCTGGATCAAAGAGGACCAGCTGGGGGGACAGGGATGGGAATGAGACCTCCCCACCCCCAGGTCTGCATGGGGCTGGGAGATGGCCTGGCCCCAGGGACAGAAATAGATGAGGAAACCAGGATACCATAATTCCAGACTGAGCTGGGTCCTGCAGGAGGTGTGGAGGCCCATGCTGCTTCAGAAAAGGTGGCACGTGAGGACTGCTGAGGACATGGCAAGTAGAACCCTGGCCCTGTGTGAGGTGGGACTTGGTTGCCAGGTGACTGTCCTGGGGCAGACTCTACTGGCTGTGTTCACTTCTTGGTTGCAACTACCCTGGTACTGGTCCTTCCTTCACTTACCACCATGTCTCGGCAGCTCAGCATGGATACTCTGTGGCAAAATTTCTGGAAGGAGGAATATCTAAGGGAAAAGATGTTGCGCTGTGAATGGCACCACAAGTATGGGTCACTGGTAAAGGCCAAGCAGAAGGCCAAGGCTGCAGCCCGCCTGCCCCTCAGACTGCCTACCTTGGCCTCCAAGGCCCCACTCTCACCCCCACCTGTCCCCAAAGCAGTACCTTCCAAGCCCCCCAGCCCTGTCCCAGAGGCTTCTTTTCAGTCAGAAATGTACCCAGTACCGCCTGCCACCCGGGCCCTGCTGTATGAGGGCATCTCCCATGACTCCCAGGGGCGTTACCGATACCTCAACACCCGAAAACTGGACCTGCCAGAGTTGCGCTACTTCTTACCCATCACCACCAACTTCACATACGGCTGGCAGCTGGGTGAGCCCCAACCCCTCAGCAGTCGCTTCCCAAACCTGGAATACCAACCGTGTGCCAGGAGTGGACATGTAGTGGAGGGTCCAGACCATAAAGATAGAGCAAGGAAATGGCCAAGAGGGATTCTCATTTCTAGAGACTAGGGAGTGACTGTGGGCGGGCAGGCAGGGGAGAGGTGATTCTTCAGATTGTGTTGTCTGGAAAAGCCTCAGAAAGGCCCTCAGGCTTGCAGCTAAATGACAAGGGGAGGGCTTTGGATTTTACTCTAGTTCAAAGGGAAGCAAATGGAGGGTTCTGAGCAGGTATATGATGCTGATTTACTTTTTTTTTTTTTTTAAGTTTGATTTACTTTTGGTTTTTTTTTTTGTTTTGTTTTTTTTGGTACCAGAGATCGAACTCAGGACCTTGCACTTGCGAGGTAGGCGCCTGAACCATTGAGCTAAATCCCCGGCCCTTGATTTACTTTTTTAAAAATTACCCTGTGTTGTAGGTAATGGCTTCTCAGGGGAAGCTGTAGACTCTGGCAAGTGAGTTAGACATGTATTTTGAGTTATCTTGGCAAAAGGTGATGGTGGCTTCAGCTCAGAAGTTTAGCAGTAGAGCTGAAGTCAGTTCTGATGTTTTGGAGACTCACTGAAACTTTTTGGGAAGAGAGAAATCACTGGTAATGCCCAGATGTTTGGCTGTAGCTCCTCCAGTAGGGAAGACTAGGGGAGGACAGGCTGGAGGGTACATGAGACACAGGTCATTTGGCCAAGGTAGGCTAGAGGTGTTAAGTGAGGCCTGTGTATGAAAGTCAGGCTCTGGGTCAGCTCAGAGCTGAAGAGCAAACTTGGGGGTCATTAGAGTATACGTAAGTGCTATTTAAATCCTTGCAATTAGATGAGGTCACTTGGGGAGCTCAAGTTGCTGAAATCTCACCTGAGGGCAAGTGTACAGGGCTAGAGGCCGGTATCAATGGCGTGGGAAAGCTATCCATCTACACGGAGTCTGCTTCCTTGAGTGGCTGAGAACGGTCGTCAGCTGGGAGGGAACCAGCCCAGTCAGTGGAGTAGTTTTCAGCGAAGAGTGAAAGTGGGGCAAAGAATATGGCAGCAAGTGTTGCCAGGTTGCTGGATGGTGCTGAATGACCCTTTGCCGGTGTCGTGAATTTCAAGGGAGGTCACTCGGTTATGAGTCTTTTCTCCAGCTACTCAAGTGCCTGTGCCAAAAAGGCAGATAGTTGGGAATCAACACGGTTGGAATTTTACCGCATGTTTTCCTCATTTCCCCCAGGGCACTAAGAGGGAAGCCAGGGGAGCCAGGTTCCAACAAAAGCAGGGCAGCCCCAGAGGGGAGCGAGGCTGAAGGAAGTCCCATGGCAGCAGTCTGTCCCTGTGGCAGCAGGGCTGGGGTGACGATGGCAGATAGCCAGCTGCCACGCTGCCCTCACTGCTGTGTTCAGCGTCCAGCCTGTATTTGCCTTTAGCCCCCCCTCCTCAGAAGTACTTTTTATTTCTTCACACTAAGTGGATACAACAAGGCCATGCAGACAGACAGGGCTCTGTTGAGTCCCTTCCCCGGGAACCTATTGCTGGCCTCTGACATCTTTTCCCAGGCCCCCCAGTGAAGCAAGAACTGGTCTCCTGCAAGATGTGCCGCATTGAGTCTTTCTTCCGCAAGAACGGGGCCTTTGCGCTGCTGGACTCCCGAGACCTGGCCCTCTGACCCCAGCCTGGCAGCGAGCCGGCTTAGAGGAGAGAAGAAATAACAGGTCTCCTGTTGGGACAGAGATGTGGTGGGTGTTTATATCTGCTGTCCGGGCCCTCAGGCTGCATTCTGGGCCTTTCAGACCGACCTGCGACCTCCCTCTTTCTTTTTCCTTAAGGCTTATCTCCTTTATCATCCCTTTGGGGACCCAGCAAGGATCAGAGGGGGCTGGGAAGGGTGGGCGCTATTCTCGAGACGAGGGTCCTCATCGCCAGCGGGCCACAGCAGCCCCTGGAAGTTCTGGGTGTTTCTAGGAAGGAGAGTGGCCTGTCATTCAGATGGGGGGGGGCGCCTTCCATCACCCTCAAACCACCTGCCCTCCCCTCCCCTGGCCCCGAGGGCCCGCAGCCGCCCGGTCCTCTCCCGGTGCACCTGGTCCAGCTGCTCACGCAGCGCGCGCCGCCACCCGGCCGTGTCCTCCTGGATGGGCAGAATTCGGTGGGGCCCGCGCCGGCCTAACCGTGCCCGCCCTGCCCCCGGAAGGGTCCTGGGGACCCCGCCTTCTCGAGTTCTTGTCTGAGTCTGGAGCTGTACGGGACCCGAAGGGAGCCCCAGTGGGTAGACCCGGCAGCGGCGGTTCCCGGCGATGCGGAGCCGCTCCAGCACCTAGGGAGGCGGCGGTGAGCCGTACTCGGCCTCGGTCTCGGCGTCCCACCGCGCAGGCAGCCCCTGGCCCGCCCGCAAGGGGACGCACCCGGAGCCGCTGCTGTTCTCAGTCCTGCCGCCGCCGCAGAGCCGAATCCTGCTGCGCCGTGCTCACGCCAGGGGTTGCCAGCCAAGCGGCCTTCGAGGCGGGGGGACCCCCAGGGCCACCCCTCCACTCCTCTAGCGCACCCGGGAAACTCGCTCGGCCCACCGCCTGCTGCGCCGGGCCACGGCCCCCTCCCGGCACAGTCGCAGGGAGCTCGGGCTGCCCAGGGTTCCCGGGGCTCTGTGTCGCCAGTATCCCCGAACCTGGGCCTGGGACAGGAGCCCACGCCTCCTCCCGGGGGACCCCCAGCGTTGTCACGGCCGACTCCTGACTCTGGCCCTCGGTCTTGCCCTGCATCCTCTGGGAGGTCCTTCCCCGGAGGCCTGGGTTCCCCCTTTCCACACTCGGGGGACTCTCTTCTTCCCCCTGGCCCAGGGGGTCGCTCTCCTCCGGGGGCTGGGCAGTTGCTTCTCCCTGAGCCACCTCCCGGGCTGGTGAGATGCGGCCTTCCCATGCCTGCCAAGCTTTCGTTCCCTGACCCTGAGGAGCCTCCTCTCCGACGACGCACTTTGGACTATTTCCTGTTTGACTCTGAGGAGCCTCTGGGTTCTCTCCCTGGGGTGCCTCTTCTCTCTGCCCCTGAGGGTCCTCCCTGCTCTTACTCTGTTGTGGTTTTTCTTCCTGACTGGGAGAGACTCGCCCTTCTGACCCCCAGGGACCACCTCTCTCAGCCTCTGAAGAGGGTCCAGCAGCAGCAGTTTTTGAGGTTCTGATCTCTCTCTGTCCAGGCCCAAGCCGAACCCCTTGGGTAGATCTTGGAGGGCTAGCAGGCCTTGGGAAGCCAGGCCAGAGGGCCCTAGGGCTTCCTGACTGAGCTTTCCCTCCTGTGGGCTCCTGAGTGTTGGTGAGTGGAGTTGTTGGATGGTAGGCTCTGCTTGGCTCCTTTCTTCCCTCTGGGGCAGGTCCTGGGCAGGGAGAGAGCACCTTGGGTCCAGGCTTGTGGAGAGTGGCAGTGTAAGGGCTCTTTCCCTAGGGGAGCTGGGACACCCCAGTGGCTGGTCCTTGCCTGATTTCTGAATTTGCAGAGGCCATTTTATGTGTTGTACAAGTTCTTCAGTGATGGTCCCTTCTTCCACTTGGCTGCAGGAGGCAGCCCCACCTCACCCCAGCAACCTCCTCCCAGGCAAACCCCACCTGAGCTGTTCCCAACCTGAGAGAGGCCTTGCCCAGGTCCCTTTGACTCTTTCACCTCAAATGCTAAATTTCCTGGCTCCTCAAAGTGCCTGCTGGTGATAGAGTTCATCTCCTGTAAGCAACCTGAGGGAGAAAGACCAGTGTTGAAAACTCTCTGCCATACCACAGGCCCTCACAAACATTGCCCTGAACTGGACCTGAGAAGCCCAGTGTAGGGCACAGGGTGGAACCCCGAGGGCGCTGCTTGAACTTCATGGCTATCAGTTCGTTATCCCACATGTATTCACATAGCCTGTCATACACCTGCTTGTCAAGTGCGCCTGCCAACACCCGACCCCGTCTGCCTCGTCCTCTCAGCCAGGGCAGACCACACTAAGGCAGCTTCCACATCCTCTTCCCCAAGACAATTACAGTTTGCCTGGGAATGAGAAGAGCTCATTTTCTGGGGCCCCTCTGCACAAGAACACCCCACTTTGTCCCGGTGTGCCAATTCAGACCCATAGAAGAAACACTACGAGCTATACTTTTCCCTGTTACTAAGGAAAAGCCTCCTTTGCCCCTTGTTTCTGACCCCAAGCTCAAATGAAATTCAAGAAATGAAATTTGAAGCCAAGCCTGGCCTAAAAATTGCAAGTGTTCATCATTAACAAAAGAAATCTAGGGCCAGGGATTTAGCTCAGTGGTTCCGGCACCTGCCTCTCTAGCGCAAGGTCCATAGTTCGATCCCCGGTACCAAAAAAAAAAAAGAAATCTAAAAAAAGAGATGCTGTTGCTGCTGCCTTGCCGCTGTGGAGGAAGGAGAGATGTTCTGCATCCATCAAACTAGTTAATGGAACCTGATTTCATAAGGTCCTAAATTGAGAGCTTTCATAAGAATATCGCACAGTGTTCTGGTAGGCAGTAGAGATGTGTGAATATTCATAACTTTAACCAAATAGGTATGTTCTCTGTGACAATAGATCTTTCAAAGGGCTTTTGAACAAAGGAGTTTAGTAAGACTCCAGCATTTAGAAATGATTGCTAAGAACTGTGAGAACAATCTCCCACCCCTCCCTCTGAGATGCTCATCTGTTGTCTTACTAGAGAGTTTATTTCCCAGGTAATAGTGTAAGTAATATCTGTCTTCCCAAGAGATAAAATGCCTCCGAAAGCTTCTATCAATCAAAAAAGAATATTGGCACTCTTCTGTCATGTGTGTGATAGAACAAGTAAAAGCTTATGATTGTCAGGCATGGGGGCACACACCTATACTCCCAGCACTCAGGAGACTGAGGCAGGAGAATTACCATGAGTTTGAGGTCAGTGTGGACTACATACTGAGTTCAAGGCCAGCCTGAACTAAATAGTGAGACCCTGAAGAATGACAGAAATCCTTGGACTTGGGCTGAGAAGGTCCCTGCCTTCCAAGCTAGTCTGACTTCTCCAGCTCCAGGGGCTCCCTGCTGTCCCAGCTCCCAGAACCCTCCTGTCGTCATACCAGGTGTGGCCTTTTCAGGTGTGCCAGGGCCCTCTTTCGTTGGGTCTGTGTCACTCCTGGCTTCATCCAGATCCGAGGCAGATGATGGGCCTGGTGCCTGTCCCCTGCAGGAATCCAGGGGCTGCCTCAGGTACACCTCAGGTGGCCCATGGACTCAGGAATAGGGAGGGACCATGGCTGCCAGTCTTCCTATTCCCCACTAGCCAGTGTCCAGACTCTGAGTTCAAGGTGGCCTCCCCTAAGCCCTGTACCAGTGAGATCGTGGGACAACCGTGTGTGCAACTGAGTGAGGGCTTAAAAGGAGCCAGAAGCATGAGTAGGGGCAGGACTGTGGAAGGAGACAGGAGAAAGGGCTGGGTTCTTGGTCACTTTGTGAGGCAACAAGAGTGAGTGTAGGGTTCCCCAGGAGACTCACCCCTCTGTGAGCTGATGGTTCTGGCTTCGGGAGTCCTCAGCCTGGGGTGAAGCACACAGCCTGGAACCCTGAAAGGGTTGGGGAACCCAGGTCTACAGGACAGCACCCCTCAGTGTGGAGGGCAGCCCCTAAGATGGCCCCAAGGTCCCTGCCTCCTGGTATTCAGGACCTTGTGTGACCATTTCCCCTCCACAGAAAGTGCTTGGAACACATCCCTCTTGCCCACTTGAGCCTTGTGAGGAGACTGCAGTCCTGGCCCACAATGCTGGCTGGACCCTTATCAGTCTCCACCAACTCTCCCTTCTGCAGCTGATGATGCCACAGCCCAGAGCAGTCACTGACTGGCTGGCCTACCATGATTCAGGCAGCCAGTGCCTGGGCTGGGACTGGGATCCACATTCCCAGTCCTCAGCTCTATTTGGGGGCCATCACCACAGGAACTCCCTCCTGGACAGGAGGGCTGCTCAGTGTCTCCATCTCAGGGCAGCCCTGGCCACCAGGGCCTCTGCCCTCTGGGACCCTGGGCAGCCATATTAAAAGGCTTCCCAGCATTTCCACACAGTTGATTGACCAGTCTGGTGGTTAATTGTGGAATAATAGTAGCAGCCTGCAAGTAACAAGCATGTGGTGGGTGCCAGGCTCCATGAGAATCCCTCTGATGAGTTCACAGGTCCTTCCAACAGCCTTGGAGAAAAATCTGCCCTCATCCTCATTTTATAGCTGAGGAGACCGAGGCTCCCAGGCCACAGGGGCTGTCAGAGCAGAGATTTGTGAGCAGGGCTGTTGGTCTCCAAAGTCCACACATCTATTAAAACTAGACCCATACCTATCACCGTGCACTAAACTAAGATCGAAGTGGATTAAAGATCTAAATATTAAGACAGAAACACTAAACTTGCTGGAAGATAAGTTAGGTAGAACTGTTGATGACACTGGCATAGGAAAAGACTTCATGAACAAATCCTCAGTAGCACGGGATTAGCACAAAGAATCAACAACTGGGATCTCATTGTATTAAAAAGCTTCTGCACTGCAAGAGAAACTACCAAGAGAGCTAAGAGACAACCTACTATGTGGGAAGAAATTTTTAGCAGCTGTACCTCAGACAAAGGACTACTATTGAGAATATATAAAGAACTGAAAAAAAAGAAAAAAAAAGAATTCAAAAAAATCAGACCCCCCAAATTCAAAGACCCAATTCAAAAATGGGCATCCAAAATGAACAGACATTTCTCAGACAAAGAAGTAAAAGTAGCAAATAAACATATGAAAAAATGTTCAACATCACTGGTCATTTAAGAGATGCAGATGAAAACAACACTGAGATTCCACCTCATCCCAGAAAGAATGGCTGCTAGCAAGAAATCAACCAATAACAAATGCTGGCAGGGGTGTGGGGAGAAAGGAATCCTTCTCCATTGTTGGTGGGAGTGTAGACTGGTGCAACCACTGTGGAAATCAGTATGGAGATACCTCAAAGGACTAGGACTAGAGGT